TGCTTCATTTCATGGAAGTATCTTACTTCTCCACCAATTTTGAAGGAATGTTTTACAGGATGTATAATTTGGGATTGGAAAGTGTTATGTCTTAGAGATTGAAACACTTCACTCCAAATACTTCACACCTAAATTTTTCTGTTGAGAAGTCTGCTATTATTCCAGTGGATTTGTCTGTATAAGTGATTCACTATATTTGTCTACCAGCTTTGAAGATTTTGTTCTCATTTTGGACTTCTGGAGTTTTGAGAATATTATATAGACAGGGTCCGTTTGGTTCTGGCATTTGGAGTTCCATATGCCACAATTTTCTGTATGTTTACTTTTTTGCCATATTTTTGGTAAATGTTCTCTGTAAATAGGTTTTCTATGCCATTTGCACTGTTTGCTTTTTTTCACTTACTCAGTTACTACTCTTAGTCTTTTCTGCAACACTTAGCAAGTGGATCATCAATATTTTCTGTTCTTCTATTGCTTTTAAGGTGTCTCTGTATAGCTGCTCTTTAAAAGCATCGCTGTTTTCTAATTCTGACATTCTGTCTTCACACTACTTGATTCTGTTGCCCATACTTCCATACCATGTTCCATCTCCTGGATTTCTGATTGAAATCATTTCCTGGACTCTCATTCTTGGTCAACTGGTCACTGGTAGTTTTATCATTTTGTTTAGCTCAGATACATTTTTATTAGTGACTTCTAAATGTTCTTGAATCATTTGGTTATTTCTTTTTTAAATCTTCTGTGATCCCCTACAGCGTCTCTTGGATTTGTTTTGCAACTTCCTCTTGTATCCTTTGGAGTTTCAGGTTTGTAGGTTATGCTGCTCTCCCCATCATTGCTTACTCAATTAGCTTTGGGAGAGTTGTAATTCTGGAGGTCATTATGCTCCCTTGCCTTTTCATGTTCCTATTATTTTGTATTTCCTTGTTTGTTGGTCTGTTTGTTTCTTCGTGCTAAAATTTGTGGTGATTCTAGTGCAAATCTTTTTTTGCTAGTAAAGAGATCTGTTTACTTGGTCTGCTTTTCAGGGATGTGTTTGGGCATAATTAACTAAAGTCCTTTACCTCTTCTCTAAGCTCTGACCACCTCTGTTGATTTGGGATTGGAGAAAGCGGTGTAATTGGCCCTATAGCGAGTTCTCTGGGAATGTGCCCCAGTGCTGTTATTTCACAGAGGTAATCTGCATATAGTCATGGAGAAAACCAATTTATGGTGTTAATTATGTGACCTGGAATTTCTCAAGCAAACCAGATATACTATTATCATCTAAGACAACTAAAACATTAACATGAAATGAGCAGTAATTAGGTCTTACCTTTAATCATATAGTAGAAATCCAGAATTATAGCATAAATATTAACACCACAGATATATTACAAACAGGGTATATGTACTAAATGCAACAGCTATAGCTTGTCTAAGACTACAAGAAAATTCAAGAGTAATTTGCTTGAGTGAACTTTGTAACAGTAAATAAAGCTTAACTGTTATATTATTGAAGATAAAAGGGGCTGGGAAAGGGTGAAAGAAATTAAAATTTGAAATATTAATCCAGAAGATGTGAGAAGGAGTAGAGAAAACTGGAGCCAAAGATGTAGTTGTGCACTCGAAGTGAGTTTGTAGCATTAGATAAAGAGAACCATAAAAATGCCTAGAGATAGAAGTCAACAGAAAAAAGGGAAGAAGAGAAAAGAAATATCATGGAGAATAAAAATAAGAAAAACTAAAAGGAAAAATTCAAAGGGAGAAGAAGGGAAAGCTGAGAAAAGAGAGGTAAAAAGGAAGGATGAAGAAAGCAAAGAAAAAAGAAAAAAATGTCTCTGGGAATTTGAATGAATTGTTTCCTTATGGGATGCTAAATTTTATTTTTCTTTCCTTCTTTTTTTTTTGTCCTTTTGTGGAAGGGTATCCCTATGCAGTTCAGGCTGTCCTTGAGCTCACTTTGTAGCTGAGGCTGGTCTCGAACTCGCAATGATCCTCCTGCAGCAGCCTGCCGAGTGCTGAGATTACATGCATGCACCACCATGCCCAGTGATGCTAAATTTTAGAGTCCAGCAATTCTCAGTCTTCTAGAAGCAGGACTTTCTGCATTGCCCAGACAACAGCAGTGTCCAAATCAAGGCATGTCCTCCTCATACTGGCAGATAGGGAAAGCAGCCGGACCCCAGATCTATGCTGGAGGCAGGCAGAAGGGCAAGGACTTGATGTTCAAGGCTTTCTTACAAATCCAGAGCAACTCAGGCTGGGTCTGGCATCTCTAGGGGCATAGGCCCTGTGCCCTTGCCAGCTGAGACCAAATCCTTCATGGTGTCTCTTTCCAGTTGCTCCTCTGTCCAGGGAGGTTTCCTCTGACTGTCTCTCACCCAGTCACCATGGGAGTGTGGTACTGCAAAACAAGAAGTAAAGTTGTCCCATAGCTGTTCTTAGTACCCAGTTCTAACACTCAACACTTTCTGGGAAGGGAACCCAAACCCCTTCACTCTCCAAGGACATGACAAACACCTGCACAAGGATCTCTCATCCACAGTGACCTGGGTAAGACCTCTGTGGGAGCAGAGCTCCCCAACACACATGAAGATCACAACAACCCCCAGTGTACTGAAGCACCGCCTTTTCTCCATGGGACTCCCTGGACTCCCCAGGTTTTGGTTTCCTTGTATACAATTTCCTTTTCTTGCTATCCAGGAGTAAGAAAGAACTGCTTTGTTAAGACTCAGGATATCTGCTCCCCAGCAGCAGAGTCTGCTTGTCCCCTGGGTAAGCTTCAGAGGCCCTAAGTGGCATGCTCACTTCTAACCCAGGTAGGAAAGTGGGGAGTCATGACAGAGCTAGGAGCAGGTATGGCCAAGAGGAAGATGGAGAAACTAGAGGAGCACAGAGGGGTTACCTCACTTGTGACCTCATTGCTGAGATGCCATAGCTGACATCTGCAAATCAATGGAGAAAAAGTTGACTGGGGCTCATAATTTATAGAGCTTTCAGTCCACAGTCAGCCAGCTCCCAGGCAGAACAGCAGAGGAGAAGGAAATGGTGGGAGGGAAGCTATATATCCCAAGTCTTACAGGAAGCAGATGGTGAATGAGGGATCCAGGAAGGAAGATACAACCTGAGCTATCACACGCAGCAGAGCCTGTACTTCCTGAACGGCCCCACCTCCTGAGAGCAGGTTGGCTGTGAGCCCTCATAAGCATCCAGTTTCCAAAGGTTCTGCCTATGATCCCATGGACGTTTAGAGTGAAATCCAGATTAAACCATTGGCCCGGGATATAACTCAGTGGCATAAGTGCCTGCCTGGCAGTCTGGAGTTCCATTCCCAGTACCAAAAAAAAAAAATTGATCAAACCAAAGCAGGGGTCCTGAATCACAGGGAGATGGGCACAGGTCCTGCTGCCAAGACTGAAGTCCTCATGAGGGGTGACGTGATGGACACCTGCTGACTTATTTTGAGAACCCTGGAGATTTCAGAGGAGTGAGGAACATTTTCTGAGATGTTATCTGCAGGGAACTCTATCTGGTGAGAAGACACAAATATCAAGATCTGCCAGGAGTCAGGTGAGTAACCCACAGGAGGACTGACAGTAATGCTGCCCAGGACACACATGTTGAGTGCTGCAAAGACATCTTTCCTGAGCCCTTGGTCATCTTCGGAATTCGGAGGTGGGTTGTCAGGGTGAGGCTTCTCTCTTAGCTCTGAATCACTGGACTCAGAGAGCTCAAGGCCTTGGTACAAGTTGGTTGATACCCAGGCAGCTGAAGTAGGATCCCAGAGATAATCAAGGGGCTAGGTGAGGTAGAGGTAACCCACTCTCCTGAACACACCATACTCGCTGTCAAGGTATCTCTTTGTCCTCTGTTGTCAGACCCAGGAAACACAAAGATACTGGCTTTCCCTCACTTTTTCTTTAAGTGCCTCCACACATTGTCCTGAAATTTCATAAGGGAAGCCCTGGATAATACAAGGGAGAACCTCAGACCTATCCATTTATTCAGATAAGAAAGGATCAGGTTCCTGTTCCTAGGCCACATGGAACCCAATTTTCTTTCCACCTCCTACTTTTGTCCCAAGCAGTGCTGGCCATGTTGTGTTTTCTCCTTTACTGCCATTTGTTCCCTGTAAAGCAAGGAGACACTTTTCCTTGGTATTTGCCTTGGGCCAGTGAAAGGCTGGGATTCAGGTCCTGCTCAAGACATTTGAGGGCTGTGAGTGAGCAGACAGGGGATGATTCATCCAGAAGAGCAGGAAACTCACAGGGCCCAGCCCACCCCTCCTCTAAGGGCTGGGAGACAGGGACTCTGCTGAGGTCTGCAGCCTGAGCTGTCCCCCATGTCCCTTACAGGAGCTCCAAGAAACAGGAGCGGGAAGTCTTGGTCTGAGGCAGTGCCCACAGACCACACAGAAGAGGAGGCTCAGGAGTAGAGGTAAGGGGCGTGCACTGAGTGTGCACCTATGGCTCCACCCTCCAAAGGACAGAGGGGAATCCTTTTGCCCAGGATGCCCAATCCCTGCTGTCTGCCCTGGAGCCTTCTCTGAGGCTAAGCTGCAGCCTGAGGAGCAGTCTCACTTCCTGACCAAGTTCTCGGGGACAGTGCTCATAGTCAGGACTTGGAGAACCGCACGCAAAGAGAAGACCAATAATGGGCCTTTCTGGGAACTCACAAGGGTACTATTGTCGGGTGAGAACACTCACACTCTCCCTCTCTCCTCCAGGCGTCTGAATCCTCATCACTAAGTCCTTGCTGTCCCCACGGATCCTCAGCACATCTTCTTGGTCAGAAGACACAGCCCAGCAAGATCAGGTGAGGGCACCTTGTCCAAAGAGGGGCACGGGGCCTGGTAGGAGTGCAGGTGTGGAAGGCGGTCAGAAAGGAAAAAGGGCCCACCGCTTCCTCTGGCTCCTCCTCCTCCAGTACCCAAATCCCTGCTGCATCAAGTGAAGTGTGTTGGGCTAGGAACCAAGTTCTCCCCAGAATCCTCAGGGTATCTCTTCTCCCCCGCAGCCATGGCCTCCAGTCAGAGCAGCCAATCCAGTGAGAGCTGCATCCTTCAGGAGGAGGATCTATGTTCTTCCCTGGACATACTTGGCCTTCAGTGTCTGTGCCCTCTGTACCAAGAACATAAGCTATGTAAGCTGCTGCCTATCCTGCTGCACAAGTATCAAAACAAGGTGCCTGTCACCAAGGCAGAAATACAGCGCAATGTACCACCCCGTTACAGGCGGGATTTCACCTCACTATTCAAGGCAATGTGTGAGTGCATGTGTTTGGTCTTTGGTATTGATGTGCGGGAACTGGATACCCCTAGCAAAAAATATGCCCTTATGCCCATTTTAGGCCTCACTTATAATGGGATGCTGAGTGATGATTTGCAGAGCATTTCCAAAATCAGCCTCCTTGTAGTCATCCTCATTGTCATCTTCTGGAAGGGAAACCTTGTCAGTGACGTGGAGGTAAGGGAATTCCTAAAAACAAGGAATATGTTACCTCGGAAGAAGCGCTTTGTTATTGGGGATCACTGGGAATTCATCACAAAGGATTTGGTACAGCTACAATACCTGGAGTATCGGCAGGTGCCCCATAGCGATCCTGCTCAGTACGAGTTCCTGTGGGGTCCAAGGGCCTATGCTGAAACCAGCAAGATGAAAGTCCTAGAGCATTTGGCCAAGGTGAACAGGCGCGATCCCAGGTCCTACACACGTCTCTATTTGGCGGCTTTAAGAGAGGAGCAAGAGGCTGCCCAATCCTGTGCTATGGGCCAGTGAAGGGGCAAGGTGCCAGCCAGCGACAGGGAGTGCTCCTCATCACATGGCTGTCTTAGTTCCCACCCCATGTGAAATGAGTCCAATTCTTCCATTCCTGTTTCTGGATGTCACACTTTTCTGAGTAGTCAAGAGCCAGGGGAAGGGTAAAATTCTGTGTATATCATCTCCATATCTGTCCTGCTTGGGTTACTTAGAAATGGACTTGTGTGTTCTTTATGCCTTTTGGAAATTTTGCTCCTTTTCTCAAGTTTGTCATGGCTTGCACGAGTTATTTGCATAATGCTACTGATCCCATGTGTGTTTTCACTTTTGAGATATTGATGGCTGTTTGTGATTCTGATATGGATATGATCTTGTGTGATACTGATCACAGGAAGTTTGCTCTTTCTTTCTAAATGCCAGCATCATTCATATTTTGTTAAATCAACTTTGAAAGCTTTCATTTTATTTTAAAGAAAAATCATCATAGGAATTTCCTTGGCAATGTGTAAGAAATTTACAACAAGTTAAATGAAGTACTGGAATAGACAATCATAAAAATCTTTGCTACCTTATTTTTCAGTTGTTGTCATAAACCATTAAAATATATGTATACCTGAATGCGCTTGGTTTCTTCAATTACATGAGAGAAATCTACCCTCGGTAAGGAAGCCCTTCTGTTCATGTGCACACTGACCCCAAAATTTCATTGCGCATGTGCCCTTTGTTACGCCTGTGTCTGTGGTGGAGATATGAGTACACTAGACTGAGCAGGATCGAACCTACCCCAGAGCATGGCGGAGTCCAGGATTCCCCCCAATGTGGGGATATAGAGAGATTACCTCCGGGAACTAAGGACCATGAAAAAACTCTTAGGGGCTGGAGTCTATCAGAAGAAGTCCTGGTTGAGTGCTGAGCCACAGTAGTTTGTGGCTTGGTGTAAGTGCATTTTATTGTGCAGTAGTTGATTTTAATGCAACTGAAACGTGGGGAGGACCACACCCTCAGATGAGGCGTCCTGTGCCTGAGGTAAATGACTGATAAAAGAGAAGACTGCTCTGACCAGCGCTTTTCAATGGTAGGTGAAGCTGAGAAGACTCTTTAAGAGAAGAGCGGTGCTAGGCAGGGCACAAACTGGAGGACTTACCCCAGCTAATGCAAGGATTTCCTGAGAGATAAAGGAGACTGTCAGGTGAAGTGAGGCCCTAATGTCCCTGGGCAGATGCTCTCTTCTCTGCTGGGAGCGTCCACTTTCCAGGGTATATTCAGTGCCCAGTTCATTGGTTATTCTGTGGACAGCTTCTCCTTGTGAGTCCACTTTGCCTGAACCGTCTTCCAGGGAGGGTGTTGTAATTTGCTCAGTGGCATGGGCCTCTTCCAGGAGTGATCCCAGCACTGCCTGACCAAGAGCTTCTCCTCCCAGAGAGCCTTCTCCAAGTTTATGAGAGTCTTCCTCCCCTCTTATAGCAGGACTTCGTCTGGATCAGGTTTCACTAGTTCCTTTGTGAATGAAGTTTAAGCTTTTGTTATTTTGGTATGTCATGTGCCTTGAAGATTCGTGGACCTGCATCTGTGCTGAGCTTAATTTGTCACCTAGAATGATCAGGTTTTTAGGCCGCTTTGCAATGGACAGATTGTGGATCCCAAGTTTAGACTTTAGGTGAAGGTTTTATGGTTCAAAATAGTTTTGTCAATGGAAGAGCAACTGGAAGAGAGGGGAATATGGTTCTTCACCCAAGGTCCTAAAGCTGTGAATTAATTGTTCCCAGCAAAAAAGTCCTCCTCAACATCAAATGAAGTAATACGTCCTATTGAATATATCACTTTGGTGGAAAGTTTACTGGGTAGCATTTTACTTGTTTTTCTTTTCATTTTTCTGTTAACCTGCTGCTTCCCTGGGAAACACACACACAAATTTTATGGGTAAAGCATGACAGCATGGAGGGATAAATTTTTGATAAATTCTGCTAGAACCACTTGCTTTTCAACAAGCCTTCAATATAGCAATGTCAGAAAGTCTGGTAAGTGATTTAATATGCGTTGTACCTTCCAATAATCCTACAACACAAAATGTGTGTGAAGCCCATTTTACAGATGAAGAATGAGAGTCATACTGGGCTCTGGATCCCCTCAAGATGCCGTGTGATAAATGACAAGGTCAGCACGAGACTCTTAGTGTGATGTCATCTAGTGCCCACCCTGTTCCCCTTGCTCCCAACCTGAACCCAGCCCTGATTATCAAGTCATCCTGAAAAGTTCTATGTGGGATAAATATGTGACACTCTGGTGAAGGCAAATTAAGAGAAATGATGAAAGTTCCATGACTGACAGTGGTTCATGGAGAGGGAGGGAAGAAAGTTTGATTGGATTATGGGAGAGGAATTTTTAGGGTAGGAAATCTTTTCTGAATAATACTGTAATTGGGGTTTTCTTACAACTACAAATTTGTCAAAACCCGCAGAAAGGGACAGTGAGGTCAATGTAGGTTATGTTCTCCTTTCAAAACACATGTGTCCACATGAATGGTGTTAAAAATCACTGTGTATAGGGCTTCTCTGCAATTCCAAGTTGTGGTAAAGACACTGTAGTATGTTGCTCTAACGCTGCCACCAAACATGAACGTGGGAGGCTTGGCCAGGCCCACTGCAGGATGGCCCTTGGGAATTGAGTGGGTCCTTGAAAATGACTATCCCTCACAGAAACTGGGGCAGAGATTCACTGCAGCGAGGCCGCCCTGGAGCATGTATTGTTGCTGTGCTCCATGGCCAAGCGACACAGCTCAATATATGGATCCCTGTCTTATTTGAGAAGTACTAAGTTTTGCCGCACCCAGGGTGGGAACAAGTTAACCCATGTCTGCAGGGCTCCAAAATATGATGTGCACCATGCAAGTTCATTGAATTTAAGGGATAAAGGAAAACCACATCAATAAATACACAGTTGGATCACAATACACAGTTATATTTTGGTGTACTAAAACAATCAGGCAAAGCACATCCTGGACGTATAATTAAATGATACTTCTCACGACTTCTTTGTGGTACACATTTGACATGTAGGTTATACTGGATACAATCTCAAAGCTCAGAGTTTGCCTTGAGGCTCAGAAAGGATTTAGACTTTGACTTTTGATAAATTCTGGGACTGTTCAGACCTTGGAGAAGGGATTATACTGTTACCAGCCAGATGGGTGACAATTACATCATGTCAGGTTGAACTAGGAGCTAGGCATTATTGTCTTCATTTGGAGAAAAATTCTGCTTTAAAGAGATGTGTTTGGTGTAAAATTCACAGAGGGTGAATGCTGGTAGTTAATCTTGACAGGTGAACAAGCAGGTTAACTTAGTGGTTTAGGGTAGAAGGCTCCTGGATATGTGCACATTGACCATGGAAGGTGGCCCTCAGTAATATATGTGGCCTCTGGCCCTTTTGCTCTGGCACTGTTCTGCAGTTCTGCTTTCTGGCCACCATGAACTGAGCACCTCTGTGCCTCCAAGACTTTCCCATGCTGTGTGTGCCTTGGAGCCATCCTGTCACAGACTGAAAACAGGCACCAATCAACTCTTTGGTCCTTGCAGTTTGGTTCTTGTAGCAGAAACATGACAAGCATGTGTGGTACTGTCTTGTGCTTCTGGAAATAACCATGGAAAGAGAGGGAGATCTAGCAAACATGCATAAGCAACTCCGTGTAAACACCAAAACATGAGGAAGGCCTTGGGGAGACTGGAGACTGTGGAGCTGGTCCCTGAATGTGGGTAGGGGCAGGGAAGCTGAGGGCTGTACAGATAGCACATAACAGCATTAGCCAGAGGAAAGTTTAGAAACTCCTGCCTCTGTATCACTGCACGGGCTGAGGCAGCACCTCATACCAGAGATACTAGTGACCTACAGGTAACAGGAGGACAGCAGAAAAATGGAGACAGAGAGTATGGTTTCGGAGACTGAAGTTCTAATACCTACCTGAACCCACCCTAGTGGGTGACAACTGGCTTTCACAACTATGACTACTGTAATGGAATGTAAGGAATATATTACAAATGGATTGGAATTAAAATTGAATCACACAGAGTAACAGTAGATATGCTTTCATCAAACAAGCATATGTAGTGTAGGTACATTCACGTGGAAATGTATTTGTAAAAATATGTACATAAAATATATATATTCAATATATATAATATATAAACTAATACATGAGCACATATACTCTACATTAGTGTAGTCTATGTAGACACTCTGTACAGTTTTTCTTTCTACTGATAGAAACTCCACACAGACATTTGGTAGAGATGTGAAATAGCTTCTGGTCTCCAAATAAAGCTGAACTGTGAAAATCATGCTCTGGAATGTGAAAAGTTAGGTCACCTCATGGAACAGGGTTTGCCCCAGTACTGCACTGCTGCTCACTTTCTTCCCTCTAAAAAAAAACAACAGTCTGTTAGAAGAAAAGTGTGGGGAGGTCACCTCTGGTTAGGGAGGGGACCGCATAGTGTGGCATGGTTATCCATGCTTGATGAGCTTACCACGATCTTGGTCTCCCAGCCTGGTCCCTGAAGTCAGTCCTGGAGACCCTGAGCAGGAGGAACACTTGCTTCCCTCCCACCGCCGCCACCAAAGAGGACACCTGGAGACTGAGAAAAGCTGGCTGTGGCGTGCATGACTGGAGTCCAGGCTCTGCTGGGAACCAAGGTGACAAAATCCGGGCAGGGCTTAGGGAACTGTAGAATCCCATTGCGCTCCTGCAGTCAGGCCCTGGGCACCTGGGTTGATGTGAAGTCCACTGACTGCCTGACCCGTGGTGACAGATTTACCTGAGGGAATTTTCTGCTGCTTTTCTTCAGTTGCAGTAACAGAGATGTCAGCTCAGGGAGGGGGTCAACATTTTGGGGTGTGGGTGTTCTAGGGAACCTCAAAGCAAGGACAAGGTGACCATACATCCAGGTCTTTCTCCTTTGTCAGCCCTGAACCATCAGAAGGATTTTTTAATGAGATCTCCTCCCCTCGGCAGACTTGGGGAGTGA